TTTTAGAAGAAAAACAGTATAGGTGATCACAGCTATGCCGATGACACTAGCTAAAAGTTTTCCTGTCTCTGGATATGGAAGCAAATGCACCACAGAGAGTCTGATAATGTTCCTGAGCTTTATGATAGCAAGGCTCAGGATACAGCTGTTGCAAAGTCAATTACACGGATTGACTGGAGTCAAAAGTATGAAGCATGAACATTTCCATAGTTTTCTTTCTTGTTGCCGGAAGAGTACTTCAGAGGGTTGTTCTGATATGTTTTCTTGGCACAGTCTTTTCTTCAAGGCCTGATTCCCCCTTGCCCTGTGTTTTTGGTAATCATTTATATCTATGTAAAGTGGATATAAGATGCCATCACACTGTAAGGTTATGGAGACTTGGGATAACAGATTCTTCATGCTAAGAAGGATTTTCCCCTTTGAATCAAATTAATATTGTTACCAAATATTTGTAGTTTGGTAATGAACTGCATTTTTTATTTCTTGATCAAGCATCCATGGTGTCTGCCTCTGAAATACTGGGGCTGAATTACTGCAATATAACCTATGTTTAGCTACCTAGTAATTTCATGCGCCCACTGCTAGATGTTGTGGTTTATTATCATGAAAAGTAGTGTACCTGTAAGCTGCAGCTTAATATGGAGCATAGAGTAGGACTGAACTCCAGTGTACTTAAATTCAGGAGGCCTCCTAAGGACAGCTGAGGCAACCTGATTTGGGAATCTCTCTCTATATCAACTGAATAGCAAATGCCTGCACCTCCCTGGACAGCTGTTTAAACCACCCTGGTACTGTTCAAAGGCTGACCGTGACCATGCAGTCTGACAGAGCTAATAATTAGCCCCATTGCAACTAACTTCTCAGGCTCCTCCAGAGAGTGAGAGGACTCTCTCTCTCAACCTGGATCACAAATAAGTTTGAGCAGGGAAGCAGTATTATTCTCCCCAAACCAAAGTGTTTCTGAGCCTGCACATCTGAGTAATGTTTAGGCTACAAGGTATCTAACTATTTACCGAAGGAGGGTGGCTAGTCCATTGAGCAGTGCAGCAAATAGGCTGTTGGAGACTTGCATGGTGTTCAGGTGTCCAGGTCTCGCTTTAGCTGGGATGATGGGGCTGTATCTGGTCAGAAACTTCAGATTTTGTTTTGGTTATGAAGTGCCTTATGAGCTGCTGGCACCTTTATGAAGTATTTATTCACTCTGTCTCTTAAGTCAGAGAGTGCACATTCTGATCAAGGGCTTTAAAGAAGAGTGGTTCTTACCCAAATTGTTGTTTAATTGCTTAAAATAAAAATATCATTTCTAAGATGTAGTAATTAATTCTGGGGCATAAGCCAGTAGCAAAATATGCACAAATGTTGTGTGACATAGTCATTAAAATGCAAATCGGTGTTTTATTTTGACTGCATGATCTAGCTTACATACTTCAGAAAGAACAGTCCAAAACAGAAGTCATCAATTTGAAATAATGGCTATTTTTTATAAGAAAGCATGAAGAAACATGTAGGTGATTTTGCCCTGATCCATATAATACAGTGAGGATACTTATAAAAGTACACTATATTTAAAAGTGGAAAAGGTAGAAGGAGGGGCATGAGACTTCAATAGTATCATCATAAATGAGAAAATATTGTAATGTTGTTAAATTTTTTCTAGTGTATACCATTAGAGCAGCAAACATAGATTTCCAGATGTTTGTGAAGAGTCCAACAGTTATATTTTATATCTATGGCTGCAGTAGCAATTTCTATTCAGCAGCTTAGAAAAACATTTCATGTCACAACAGGAAAGAAATATTACTGTGGGGTTTTTTTCACCCTCATCCCCCATATAGCAATTCTGAATACTTTAGTCAATGCCAAACAAAAATGATGATTTGAAAATTAAAACCACAATCACTAGGGGCAAGACATAAATGTGCAGATGTTTTGGAGATGCTGAAGAACTTTTCAGGCAACAGTCGCAATGCTGTTGTGGAGAGGACTAAGAATCCGTCAGAGTCAGACACTGTCAAAAGCAGTTCCCAAAGCTATAGTGTCAGAAAAGGCACTTACCTTTTCATATTCCCTTAAGGAAAAGAAGATCAAACCTGCTCACAGTGGCCGCTATTTAGCTCTCACTATTTTATTAGCGAGGGATTGACTGTAATCTGTTAAGAAAAGTGAGCAACTTATATCTGCTGTTTATTGGGAGCTGGACAAATGGAAAACTGCACTGTCCCAAAGTAGCATGCAAAATATCAGTTTTTTTTCTCTGGAAAGGAAAATTTTCACAAGCTTAGAAGCTGTTACCATTTCAGGCACCTGTGTGTGCTAATGCTGTTATACATATGCCTGCCTGAAAATCAGTTCCCCAGCTAAACAAAGAGATACCATGAATAACAGTATAAATAGCAAAAGGCAAGTTTTTGAAGACATACGTTGTAACGGGCACATTAATGCCTTTGCGTGATGACAGACCCGCTGCCTCCCAAGGAGAGCGCGCGCAGGCACTTCTGCCCGCGCGCACACGGCGCTGAGCCAGAGCCGTCCTGCCCCGAAGCACGAGCTTTTACTGTGGCCTCTCTCTACTGCTTGATGGTGATGAGAGGATCCTTGAGGGGAATAGGTTAAATACAAGTAGACATCAGCTCCTCCCTCTCCTTTGTATTTTACCTGTTTTAGTTATTATGGGCAGCCCACAGGTGAAGTTTTCTGTACTATCTGGCCCTGTTGTGCCTCAGAGGGTGCAGAAAGCTTGCTGACGGCGGTAGGATTGCCCAGGTAGCCAGGAGAGACCGTGAGCAGCCGTGTCCTGTCCTAGCAGAAGGAGGAGGCCAGGAGTGGGGAGGGGACAGCTGTGAGTAAAAGGCGATATGGCTGGAGTTCTGCTAAAATAGCTTGTACGAGACAGGCGGTCCACTGGGGAAGAGTTGGCATATGTTAGGAGAGGCGGGGATAGGGCCAGGGACTGCGCCGGCAGGGAGAGTCACAGAGTTATAACCACACCTCTGGTGGCTTGGCCTCTTTTCAAAGCCCCATAAAGTGCCTGTCACAATTGGCTTATGTCATGTAGCAGATACCAGCAGATACCAGAGATAAACCATTCTGAGGTAAAGACAATTTGTTAAGTGCAACATAACTGTAATTAAGTATCAGATATTATTTCTTACAAAATGCATCTCCAAAATCACATTGCATTAGCTACAGTATTGGACCGACAGAGCATAAACAAGGGTAATGATAAACACTGGAGAACAGAGTTAGGAAGAGATGGTTATTAGGGTACCGGTGTGTTTCATGCTGGGTTTATTTAACAGTCTCATTAATGGTCTGGAAAAGGTAGTGAATAACCATTTAATTAAGTTTGCATTTGATACTAAATTAGAAGTTGCTGCAGACACCTCTGAAGGCAGAGACATAAATCAGAAGGAGCTAGAAGCATGTGCAGTAAAGAAGAAAATGAGATCTGGTATGGAAAAAAAAAGCAAGCTAATCTCTCTGGAAGCTAATAATCTAAAATGTAGCTATTCAGTGGAGGAATTCTGGAGAAAGCAATGTTGAAAGAGATGTAGGAGTGTTAATGGACTATATATTCCATCACAGCTCTGGTATATGTTTACAGAAGCAACGCATCAGGGAGCAGGAAGGTAATAGCCCTTCATTGTAGGGCTCTAGTGAGAACCCATCTATAATGCAGCACTCCATTTTGGGCATCCTGTTATCAGAGAGATATAGACAAATTGGAATGAGTTCAGAAAAGAGCCATAAAAATGATCCCATATCCCTGGAGATAATGACTTACGAAGAAAGATCAGAAGAAGTAAATATGTAAGGCCTTGTCTGAGAGATGACTGAAGTAGAGCAGGAAAACAGTCTGCAAATATGTGAAGGCAAAAAGGGAGGAGGATAATTTATCATAGTAACTATTAGTAATAGCATGAAATAATAAGTGGCAACAATAAATTTAGAAAGGGCAACTTCAGGTTGAATGCAAGGAGAAATTTCTGACAGAGGAATTTGGGTTCATTTGCAGAGAAGTTTCCCAGGGGTAAAAGTGAAAGCTGCACTCAAGTCATTTAAAACCAAATTGGAAAACCCACTAGAAAAAAGCACCCGGCTATAGGGAACAATCTTTCATTGCCTGGAGAATAAGCTGGATGACTTAATAAGACATTTCATACCCAAGTGTTTATGACTGTGATATTTTAGCATGCATGGTCAACTACTTCTGGAAAGTATACATTTCTCCTGCTGTCAGGCCTGATACTACAAACACTTACATGCAAACATAACTTTTAGAAGGCAAGTAGCTCTGCTGACCTCACTGCACTGCTGATGTGCAAAAAGACAAGCCTGAGCTCTTAGGAGCTTTTGCAGGATCCCAGTCTTGGCTCTTGCGGTTGTCAATGTCAAGATGATGCATACAGGTAACCGCATCATCTTGGCTTAATCTGTTTGTGGAGAGGTGAAGAGTTATAAAGAACAAAAGATGTGAGTAGGAAGCTCCAGAAAGGATGTATTATGATGATGATTGTTATTATTGCTATTACTATTACAACTTGTAAATGGCTGGTACTGTAGAGTTCATTTCAGTTTCTTAACTGTTCACCTTTTCCCTCTTCTACTTTCACCTCTGCGCAGAGTATTCATTAGACACTGTAAGACTGCCTCCTCTACTCTGTTTTTTATCATGTTAGCTATTTTTAATGTATCCTAAAATGTTTGTTAAATGAGAAAAGAAGCAAGCTGAAATGAAAAACTGACCCTTCCTTACATGAAGAAGGGATGGCAAAGGTTGGGGATTTAAATGAATGTGCAGCTAACCCTGAGTCTTTTCCCCACAGTTAAAACAACGTAATGTTCAACTCACTTCACCACGCTTTAGCAGCAAAGACACATTTACAGGCATTCAGATAGGTACGCTCGCTGGAACACTATAGTCTTTATGGTTTGCTTTATGTTGTTGTTTTCTTCTCTTCCCTCCCTCCTCATCGGTGGGCTGCGTGCGGGGCCAGCAGCCTGGTTGTGCCGCAGCCCAATTCCCGAGCCGCAGGACTCTCCAGCAAGGGGTCAAGCAGCAGCAGTTCCAGTGAATCCGAGACCAGCTCCGAGTCTGACTCAGAGAGTGAAAGCAGCTCCAGCGAGAGTGACGGCAGCAAGCCCTCGCATTGCTCCAGCCCAGAGGTAAGGACTTCAGCTTTTTATGACTTAGGGCAGCAAATCATTTTTACACCCACTCCTGCCAAGCCAACACGAGGAGGCTGAGGGAGACGCACACAAAAAATGGAAGAGGAAAAGCCCAGGGATCCTCCTCCTGGCACGCTCTGAGATGCAAGTGACAGGGGATCCTGGGGTAGATATTCAGAAATTTGAAACAAAAATAAAGAAATAACCCTGTGATATTTTACTCAAATTTGAGATGAGTGGAGCTCCTTGCAAGGCTCACAGCTTGCTTGAAGTTTTGTGCAACTCTGCCTCCAAAATAACAGTTTGCTTAGTGCGTAAGTCCTGATATAGGCTCCCAGCACTGCGAGGGAACTAAAGGCTTGTCTGCACAGGGAAGCTATTGTAAAATCAGTTTGAGGGTGAGTTTTTAAAGCAAAACAGTTGTATTTCACTCATGCACGAAGGTTCCTCCCCTTACACCCCAAGTGAATTATTCTCTGGTGCTGCTGCCTTTGTGTTATTTACTTTAATCCACCTCCAAAAGGGACTAAACTGAATTATTCATGGTTAAAATATTAGGACTAAACTTGTCATCCACACAGCTAATACTGAAAATTTCCGTATGTGGAGAAGCCCGAGCCATATTACAATTTATCTGATAGTGCTTTGCCACCTCGTGCTTTCACCTTGGTGGAGTGCTCAACAGGCACTGTAAGGCTGCTTTCTCTACTCTGTTTTTTTTTTTTTTTTTTACCAGGCTTGATATTTTTATGTGTTTTGGACAACACACACCTTAAGTATAAAACCACGAACTCCACAGCCACATCACACATTAATATATGTAAAAAGATTCAAAAATCTAGCAGCAAAATTGTGAAGACACATGAAATACAGTCAGTAGATTTGCCTGTTCCTCATAAAGCACCCAATCATAGGACTTCCTCCTGCAACAACCATGTCTCCCCTATTCTCTCACCCTGAAAAATTATACTGAATACCAGCAAGCCTTTTCGTGTATTTTGCTCAGTATTTGGGGCCATGTTTTCTGTCAGGCGAAGTACAGCACTCACAGAAATGTCCTTTGTACATCTTGAGTTTTGTCACTTTTATTCCTTATTTAACATGTCTTCCTTTCTCTCTTTCCACACAGTATTTTCAGATCCATTTCCAATTAATTTTCCTCTCACTTTCACCCTATTCCTAAATCTCTCCAGTTCTCTCCTTTCTTTCCTCTCTCTTTTCTTTCCTTTAGTCTCTCCTTCCCTGATCCCCTCTCTATACTGTCCAATTTCTTATTTCCCATTCTGAGTTCTCATTCTACCCTTTAAGACTTTGTTCTCTCTCTGTCTTGTTCCCTGCTGCAATTATTGCAGAGATTTCACTCTCACTCTGTATGGGATCTCAGAAGGTAGGAAGGAAGGGACTAAAAGGAGAAAGAGAAGGAACTAAGAAGCTCATGGGGGAAAAGGTAATATGAGATAAAACGGGGAGAAACATCATACCCAGGAAGAGAGAAGTGTTTACTAAACTGAAAGGGTATCTAGACAGATCACCTGCGCTTCTTGGAACTAAGAGTAGCAATTCCTCAGGGAACGCAGGAAGTGAATTAACTGAGGCAGGTCATGGATTTCGTTAAGTCAGGCAGAAAGGGTGTTCTGGGAGGGAATGAAAGTCACGGAAACTTGGAGGAAATGTCTCCTATTAAGTACTTTATATATATATATATCCTCTTGAGATCTGTAGAACTACTTTTGTATGGAGTCTGAGTTATCAGTGATCATTGTCACAAAACAGCTGCACTGCTCCAACAGATTGCTTGTCTCCTTGCATTATATTTGTGTGGCTTGCCTTCTAGGACATGCTGAAACTATAAAGGACTCAAAAAAATTGGTAGCTGCAGTGGTTATCATAACTCATTCCTTCATGGGGTATGGCAGAGGCCATGAGATTCACCTGGATAGGGTTAGGGTCCCAAGGAAGTAGGTCATCTGCGCTTTTCCAAGAGCCAGCATTTTCCCAGGCCCAGCATGCAGCTGATGGCATCAGCTGAAAACGTGTTTATGTGAGGCCTCTGGATGGAAGTCCTACCTGCCTTGCATCAGTGCTTTAACTCACATTTTAGGCACAGAGCGAAGGTATCTTTCTAAAGTGTATGCCATGTTCTTACCTAGTAAGTGGAGAGAGACAAGTCCATGGAAGGTCTTTAGAGGGAAACCCTGTCCACCTAAATTTAGTTAGTGGACTCAATCCCAGTTATGGTTTTAAGATGAGCTTCATCTATCAGATAAGATAGAAGAATGCATCAAATGCATCTTTGTCATTGCATAAGCAGATATTGATACATGTAGGTACAATACTGGGTGGGAAATCTGTATTTCCAAGTTGGGAGAATCTTCATCTGGAAATCTGTAGACCATTATGAGCCCTTGATTCTTTTTTTCCATAATCTGAAATATCACATGAACACGCTCAGAGAATTTAATTTCTAGGACAGGGTATCTTCTGCATTTGAAGTTGTACGGAATTTGGATTCCTGTTTCATTTGCTCTGTATTTTTTACCTCATCTCATTTTGAGATCTTTTGAGTTGTTTTCAGCTTCTAAATGCAGTCGCCTAGAGTGTGAAAGTAGCTCATTGCAAAGCATACGTATAAAATAGATTAGATGAATTGCACCCTAAAAGTGTCTGTTTCTTTTCATTGACTATTGAAAGCCTGGAGTGACAAGCTCAGCTGTCTACACTTTATGTCTGCAGTAAACTAAGAGTAATGGCTGAGCTAGAACAGGAGGCAACATTCAGACTGGTTTCAGTGATGCAGACAAATTAAGGTGCCTCAGACAGTAATGTGAGTAGTTACGGTTTTGTGGCCTGCCAAACCTGAAATTATGAACAAGGGACTGAGACTTCTATCTCCTGTTTCTTTGCTGAGGTCATGAATTCTTCGCATGACCTTCCCTAACGTCATAAATGAGGACTCTGGAAAACAGTGACGTCTTATCCTTCCAATTATTTGAGACAGTAGAAAAAAACTTAGGTCTGACCTCCATCGAAAGAGCTAAATTTCACAAGCTCGGAATTTGATTTGCTCATTCTTTGTTGCATTGAATTATCATGCAGATCTTTAAAAAGGCTGATCCTGGCTGGACAGCCGGTGAACTCCATGCGAACTTCTCTATGTGGGAAGGGCTAGAGGGAGGAACTGGTAGGAGGGAAGTAGAGAAGCCGTTGCATGGGACAGAGCATCAGTGGCTGTTGCATCACAGCTCCTTTCAGTAGCCAGGCTGTTGAACAAGTCGTCCTGCCCTGAGCCCCGCCATTCCCACACATCAGATGCAGTCCCCTTTCTAGCCTCCGCTGTAGTGACCAGTCAACAGCCATTAAAGTTTTTTCCACCTTTTCACACGTACCTTTTGTCCATACTTATACCATCATCACAATCTATATACTATTTGGTCTCAAGCTTCCAGGTTATGACTGATCAGGTCAAAGCTGAAGTGATTTGTATAGTAATGCTCTTCCCAACCTTTCTTTTTCATCAGCAAAGAGCAGCATCCAACCACAGCACTGTGCATCAAGTCCTCCAACTGCCTGGACGTTGGTATCAACAGCTGAG